GATCAGGTCTACGCTTTCAAGTCTCGCTCCCGCTACAACCGTAAGCGCATGTCGTACCATCAGTCCCGCTACACCCCAACAGAACCACGTGTCCATGGGCATCCAGGGTTCCATCAAGAACCAGTCAAAGGAAAGTACTGAAGATCCATCACTGACTGTTCTGTCTCTAAGGACTCTGTGCTTCAATGTAATAAAAACTTATGTTTGTAAATGAGGTTTGTTTCTGAAAAGTATATAAATGCATATATTTCATCCTGCTCCCAACACTTGATTTCAGTCCCTGAATTACCTCTTCCAAGTTCTGCAGAAGCTTGATCACTTTAAAATCAGGAACAAGACCAGTTTCAGAACTGACCCTAGCCCTTGCTTGATAACAAAATTCCTGCATCACCCACCACTAGCAGGAATCTTAAACTAATTTTGAACTTGACTGACATTAGTCTTTTGCCGTGTGTGCTGGGGAAAACTATTCCTACAAAATCTAGTTTTGAACAAACTTATTTACTGGGTAAAAATCGGACCTGATGACAGCTTTGATCAATATCTAAAGCTGTACCACAGAGTTGTACAGATTTTCATTTTGCAGTTATAGGGCAATCTCAAAACTTTTTCAAAACATGTCAGAACCATGTAGGGTGTTTAAAAAAAAATCAACCTGTCACTAGAACTTCTCCCATTTTCATTTCCTCTTGACAGTATGCCTGCATCCTGTGTATATTTTTGCAAAAATTATGGATTTTTAAAGCTCATTCAAATGTCAAGGGTTGACATGTCCTACAGTTTACAGAGTAGGACTCGATGCATTTAAAAATGCTGTGGTGGTATTCTGAGACGCTGCAGGTCTAAACCAGGGATCAGTTACAATGTTTTACAGGGTATTTTCTGTAAAAACACTAAATATTTTAGCATATTTTTAAATGAAAATAAGATCACATTGCATTTGGGTAGCAATTCTAATTTTGTACGGGTAAAGTATTTTTTCCCCAAAAACATGTATACAAAAAAGGCTTAAAGTTTTTAGCCCCTAAGTTGAAAAACAGATTCTACAATGAGTTGTGGGATTGGGAGAAATCTAAAAAAAATCATTTTGACAAGAATTCAAGCATCGATGCATATAATAAAAAATTAAGTTATTTTTTTGGAACTTTTCAGACACTTAATAAGCCACTATCGTGGTATCTGTATCTATATTGTCTCATCAGTGAGACAGAATAAAGGTTGTCATGTGTACTCCTGTTATGGTGTTTTGCAGATTTATTTATTCTGAGTTTAAAGAAAAATAAAAGCTACCAAAAACAGGAAAGAGCCACACTAAGTTTGGATCTTTAATCTGCCACAGACAAATACTCAAAGATCCATTTTCCAGACAAGTTAAAATAAACATTTTCACAAAGCAACCAGGTCAGATTTGTTGAGTGACTCTTCAAGTGATGTGTTTTGTGTGTCCGTCCGTGTCTTCGCCCAAAACTTTTGCCAAAAGTGCTACAACTGAATGTTTTTACTCTGACATTTTTGTGTCTCACAAGACAAGATCGGTCAGAAAACCTTTTACCACAAATAAAACAGATGTTTTTCTCCTGTGTGTGTGGGGGGTGGGGGTGGGGGTGGGTATCTACTGCTACCGTGATTCACTTTGTTTTTAAACTGGAAAAAGCCAGTGTAATTTGGAATTAGGGGTGAAACTCATTATCACAGAGGACCACATAAGCGTTATGGTGGCCCTCAACAGGCCAGTTATGACCTTTCATGTTTAACTTTGACTAAACAGTGTTTACATGTCCCCTTAAACACTGATAAGTGTGACTAAATCTTAGTTTTACTCGAGTAACTGAGTTTGATCCAATGAAAAACTGCTGAAAAATACAGAAAGCTCCAGAGGTTGCTCGAGCCTCTTAAGCTGAATCACCAGTTGTGAACATTTAACATGATTAACAATAGTAAAAGAAACTTTTAAGATGAAGTAATATTTTAATCCATTTGCTGCCATGTCTGTTTAGTACCAGCTGGGTTCACCGACAACTTAAAGTTTAGATTCATGTAAAATCACACATTGACTTGATCAGCATTTCTCTGCCACTCTTGCTTTAGGTCAATAAATGTTTCATTGCGCTCCATATGACAAGGCTTTATCAAAATGCTATTAATATTGTAGGGGTAATTTAAAAGTTAGAATTCTGAAATAGATAATTTGTGAATATATTTTAATTATAGTATATTTACATATACTATATTTAAAATATATCATTCCTCGGAGCACCACATCCTTAATTCGATCAGATACTGACCCAGGAAAGAGATGAAAAACNAAATAAAACAGAAGGATTGATTCTAAACAGACTTTAGTGTCTTTGTTTCTCTGAGCCTAATGAAACATATGATCTGATACAAAACAACACAACTGTGAATTATCTTAAAGCTGCAAAAAAGTGTTTATATATACATTTTATTTTGATCTTTGTTTTTATTTTTATTGTTGGTTGATTGAAAATGTTCTGCAGTTTTCATCAGCTGCCACCTGATGGCGCTGTTACACTGTCATTTATGGCATCAGTCTTTATTTAGCTAATTTTCTGCTTAAATAGAACCTAACTCTGTTTTTATTTCAACTGGTTAAAAAAGTTCCTGATTTTTTTTCTCAAAAAACTCTTCTTACAATTTAAATAATCCAAAAGACAAAGGTCACAGATAAAGACTGACGGTCTGAGTGGATCTGATGTCATTTGGGACTTTACAGAACAGTGACTCCAGCCGGAGCCAACAGGTTGTGTGTTTTATGAAGAATCAATATCTTATTGTGCAACATGAACTTTTTCACTATTTCACAACAGCTAGAGTCACTACAGCAGGTAGTTTGGTGCCCAACATAAGAAGCTGGAGCACCGAGGTTCAGTTAATCGTTCATCTCATGGAGATAAATCTGCTCAGAAACATCAGATTTTCATCAGATCACTTCAGTAAACCTCTGACAATGAAGGTGAGTTGAAATATTTTTTTGTACCATGTCAAGTTCAATGAGCTYCATTAGAAGGATTTTCTTTGGTAAATATTCGGTGTTCCTCTCTGCATGACGTTTGTCCTGAAATCAACTGAAAACTGCTCCTGCAGCTGCTGTCTGTCCTTTCCCTCCTTCTGGTTCCTCTGCTGACCAGCTGTTCGGATCTGGTCCTCCCCCTGGACTGCAGCGACATCCTCGCCAGAGACAGCAGACGGCCCAGCGGGGTTTACGTCATCTATCCGATAGGAGCCACTTCTGCTGTCCAGGTCTGACAACACTTCCTGTCTTCATCCAACAAAGAAGCACTGGGAGTCCAACATGTTGATATCACAGAAAACTGATTTTCTTTTTAAAATTTGTCTGTTTTTAAATAATAATTATTGATCAGATTGCAGTTATTTGAGCTGCAGATAGTTCTGATGGGGTTTCAGGAACTGATTGGGCCTGAGGTCTAAAAGAAGGTTCCTCTGGTTCCAGTGTTCTGATTGAAGTCGATGCAGCAGCGTCAAAATGTCTGTGACATGCATAGACTTCAAGTTAAAGGAAACTTCTTTATATTTAAGAAACTTGGCATAATACACATGATTTTGCCCTTTTTGTCATATAACTGTTATATTTTCTTTTGAWCTTGGCCCATTAAAGTGAAACAGGAAGTGACATCAAAGGGGAACTCTTTAAGAMAAGGTCTTCATTTATTGAAACATTATTATTTGAGCTCTGACTCTTCATCTCTCTGATAGACTCTAAATAAACTTAACAGATTTTTGTTGTTAGTTACTGTAGCGACACTGTTTACATGCAGACGTTTCCCTCTGACATCACTTCCTGCTACTTCACATGCAAATATCCCAACAACTGTTCATCTCAGTGCCGTGAAATTAGCTTTGCGGTATTTTATCAATGTTATCTTTCAAAAAATATATTCGTGTTTATAACAGATAAAGTGTGTTTGTGCGCAGGTGTTCTGTGACATGGACTCACTGCAGGGACAGTGGACTGTGAGTACTGCTTGACTAACCATTCTGTTTTAGTCTTGATAAAACTGTTGCATCTAAGCTTGTTGTGTGGAAACATGGCTCCCAGGTGTTCCAGAGGAGGATGGACGGCTCGGTGAACTTCTACAGACCCTGGGATCAGTACAAGATGGGCTTCGGGAACGCTGCTGGAGAGTACTGGCTCGGTGAGACCTGAATCCAAACCGGCAGACCTGAGGCCTGTAAAGAYGGGGATTTCAGAACAGAGAAATCTAAATTTTGTTTTAAAGGTCTGGAGAACCTGTTCCACCTGACTCAGAGGAAGAACTATGAGCTGCTGGTGGACATGGAGGACTTTGAAGGAAACAAGTCGTACGCTCGGTACTCCTCGTTCTCCGTCGGTCCAGAATCTGACGGCTACAGACTGAAGGTGTCTGGGTTCTCTGACGGAGGAGCAGGTCAGAACCTCGGAGTTTGCTAACAATTCTAAATTTCTGGATTTTTCTGGATGTAATTATTCTGTTTCTGTCTTTTCCTGCAGGAGACTCTCTGACCTCCCACAGCGAGCAGAAGTTCCTCACGTTCGACATTCCTGAGGGGAACTGTGCCAGATCGTATCTGGGGGCATTCTGGTACAAAGCCTGTCACTATGCAAACCCTAACGGAGCTTATCTCTGGGGGCGTCACACTAGCTTCCGTGCTGTYGGGGTGGAGTGGTTTCACTGGAAAGGTTATGAATATTCCCTGAAAGCCATCAGCATGAAGATCCGTCCTGTTCAGTAACATCTGGACAAACAGGATCGTTTATTCTGTAAAATAGAAATTAGATTAGATTAGAGAGACCTTTATTGTYGTYGTACAGAGCACAACRAAATTACAGTTCAGAACACCCATTCAGAAGAAGACAGAACAAACATGGGAGAACAGGTGCCCTGGGTCATGCAGCCACAGACCCTGCACAGAGCAAGGATCATCTTCATGARGACATCATGAGGAGGCGCAACTCTTAACAGAAAAACTAAAAACCACACAAGGGAAGATGAAGGAAAAAAATACATATTATATCAACACTGTGAAACACTATGGTGTTTATAAAAAAAACTCTGCATAGAGCAGATTTATTAGCCAGAGGAGTAAGTAAGTTTAGGGGGGTGTGTATCTGAGGCCATGAGTGTTGTATGCTTGTGTGAATATCTGAAAAATGAGCCCGAAGAATCTAGTCCCTAAAACCAGCACAGCCATAGTTCAGAATATTGATGGTAACTGTTCATTCTGTGCGACCCTCAGCCTGCTCCAGGAACCAGATCAGACGGGTGTGAGAGTGGGGGGAGGTGTGGGGCAGAGCCTTGTCGACACAATCCTACCAGGAAGAATTTAATCAACAGCTCAAGGCCGTTGTCGGGGAGAGCCAGATTCTGTAATCAGTTGTTTTGGGAACAGAAGATTCAGGCAGACGATAACAATTTTCCATCTGCTTTAGTGTTTTGCTGGTACATCTCAAGGTGGCGAATCCAATCAGACAAAAAATGTGGACAAATTCAGCCGAGCCGATCTATCAGGTTCTYCAAGATCAAKTCCATCTGGCCAGCAAASTCCAGGRACCACAGCCRGCCCKYGACCCTCAATAGAACCRCTTGCAGACCGAGTCCAGCTCGCTCAAGGCAAATGTCMGAGTGCTGATWGWWCGGCAATCCTTCATRWTGGTCAGTCAGCCAGGAAATGAAAAGCCACCAACACTGTTTTGCAGAACACCAGGAGACCACCGAGCCAATCTGTAGAATCCAGTGGTCAGAATCCAGATATATATATCCAGAACAGAGAAGAACAGAGGACCCACCTTTATCATGTCCTCCCATGGAAGAAGAAAAAAAACTTTGTTCCCAAAAATTTCTTAAAAGACCAGCTAACCAAATCCATAAAAACATACAAAATTTCTGGTTTCGGATGAAAAATGTAGAGAAGGCTCCAGCAGCAAAGCAGGGAAAGATAAGGAAGGGCAGGAGTGAAGGAAGAAGCATCTTACTCCTTCGAGAGCGGAAAAAATGTATATACATT